AAAAATGTATTTGTTTTGAAGTTATTTATGAAATATTCTACACTTTGAAAAATATTTATAACAAACTTTAAAAAAATAAAGGAAAAAAAAAAAAAAAATAAGAAGAAAACCAGTAAACCCCGACGTAGTCCTAAACAGAAAAGAAAATGTGCGGACAAGTACTTCCGGACAATGATATTAAATTATATGCATAATTTTTAATAATTTGGGTATTTTACAAATTTCATATATACTTTTTTTTAATCATTTGTAATAATCGAAATTAGGAATTTACAAGTATTTAAAAAATTTTTTTTTCATTTTCATTTTCATTTACATTTTTTTTTTTTGGTTTATGTTTATGTTAATTTAGTCGTTTCTTTAATCGAACTAACATGTATGCGTTCATCATACTTAATGTGTCTTTATTTTGGCCCATAAGCTTATTTTATGGAAGCATTGAATTTTCATAAAAAAAATGCTTATTCAAATTTACAGTAAATAATGTAAAAAGCATTTTACTTTATTTGAAAGTTTTTTTTTTTTTAAAACATATAAAAATTCATATGAAACTTAGATTTTGCTCAAGATTCATAATTCATAACTTATTATTGGCATATATTTGGCATATATTGGCATATTATCATATCAATTCAAGGTTTGGTTCCGATGAACCTGTAAACCTTATATGAAGTTTTGTGTTCATTAACTTCCTCTTCGAGCTTATTTAATAAATCACAATATTCATCTTCATCGATTTTCATAATAGGGCAAAGCTTATGTTTTACTGCTTGAAACAACGTTAGAAAATCGTCAATGGCCTAGAATCAAAAAATGGGGAGGGTTGAATAACAATTTCCTCACTTGAATAATAAAAAAAAAAAATTAAAATTAAAATTGTGAATATTTACAAATTTGCCAAATTTTCCACCCCAAGAACCATATTTAGCTGGTTGATTAATAACATTGACATTTTTAAAATTGGTTTCATGTAGAAATCCTGGAATGAGTGGACATATAAAGATGTTTACATTTTCTCCTTTAAAATATTGAGCAACTTTTATGTAAAGATTAAAAAAAAAGATTATTTTTTTTTTTTTATATTTGAATAGTTTCTTTAAAAAAAAAAAAAAGAAAAAAAGACCAAACATAGACTTACATCCGTTCATCAAACACGTCATATTCGGACCTGGATTAATAATATTGAAATCAAATTCATGCGACTCAATAAACCCACCTGGTTTAAGGATCCTAAATAATTCCGGAAACACAATTTCCTTCCAATCATTTTCACGTAAAGCTACAAACATTAACCTCATGTGTATAAAATCAAAAGTATTATCATCAAAAGGTAAACGATGGGTAACGTCTAGCTTTTGAAATGTTGCGTTGTAAGGCTTTATCTCGGAAGGAAAAATTTGTGCAATGTCGATTCCTATAAATCGGGATTGAGTGTATTCTGATGCCATCTCAAGTATCCATGTACCGGGCCCGCAGCTAAGAATTTTGAAAGGATTAGTAAAGTCAAGTTTTAACAAGTTTGACACCATTTTTCATGCACTTACCCAACGTCAAGTACGTCTGCACCGGATAACAGGATCTCATTAATCGGGGAAGAAAAGTTATTTTGCCATATATAACGAAGTAGATAATGTTGCAATTGTAAACGATCAACTAACAAAAAGTAACGTTAATTTATCTGGTAACAAATTTAATACAAAAAAATCATTCTCACGTACTTTCTTCGTCATCGTTCGGCAAAAGGTATCGAAAAGTGTTATTGTCATTCACATATCTTCTTCCGTTTTCAAATCTAAACGTTTCAGAACGTGATCTCGCAAGGGTTGTTGTTATATTTTTATCTGATGAAATGGAAGGAAGGATAGGAGGGGATGATAAATTTTTCAAAGAATTTGAATCCTTGAAGTTTATCAAGACTTTAGAAACTTTCGAACCCATTTAATAATTCACGACAAGTTGGTGTTACGAATATCCGTTTTTCGTTTTTTAAAAAAAAAAAATAATAAAAATAGTAGACAAGAGAATGAAATAAGGTTGGATTAAAATAACGAAAGGGGATTTAAATGAATTTACATGAAAAGAAATTATTGATTAAAAAAGGTTAATATGATATGGAGAAGAGACGAAGGAAGCAAATAATTATTTTTATAAAAAGAAGGGACGTCCTTTAGATATTGGAATTATTTGACGGTTTCGTATGCGTAAACAATTGTATTAGCTAATCTAAAGATGACATTTAAAACATTACCTGTAATCAACAAGCAAAGCCACAACCGATCTTGTATAATAGAAATAAAAACTATCACCGGAAAATTTTCTAAATACGACCAACGATTTACAGAAAAGTCTTGTCTTTATTTAACCTTTTGAGGATACACTTAATTTTTCATTAAGATGATTTCGTTGATTAATGAACAATGCTTAACTCTAGATTGTTTTTAATTAACATTTCCACATCTCTAACCATAAAAGTAATGATGTGTTAAAAAAGAGATTTTGTATAATTAATTTGCCTTAATTATTGAATTTCTGCCCATCTGGACAATCGACAAGTTAAAAAAAAAAAAATTTATTTTATTTATTTTCCATATTTGTGTTGTGTTGACTTTCAATCTTATCTAAATTATCTCAAACATTTTTTTTGTTTGCATAGAATCTTCCAATTTCTCGTATTGCGTGCGTTGCATTTATAGGTTTAAGGAAAAAAAAAAAAATTTGACAGGTACTTGTTACCATGAAAATCCCAGCTAAATCATGATTGAAGTTTGTTACATACATCATTCTGTACAATCTAATATTCCTCATATTTACCGGAAGTTCTTATTGTTTGTTTAAGAACCTTCTCAAAAAAAAAAAAAAAATCTTTTTCGAAACATCGACATTTACATCACGACAACTTTATAACAGAGTCATGTTTCTTCATCATAATTTAACTATAAGAACTTATTGCAAAAAGTTTAATTCGTAATTATCAAATAATAATAAATACTATTTCATAATATCAAAATCATGACAAAGAAATTTTTCCGATAATATGTTCGGGAAAATACAAATTGTATTAAAATTAAATCATCATCTGTTCGGTAAATTTGGTATTCTTTTGAAAATTGATGCGACAAAATATTTGTCATTTAATTTTTTTTTATAGTTGATCATAAATAATATCTTTGTATTTTATTATTACAAAAAGAAAGATTCTGAAACCAATCACATCGCAAAGATATTTATCGGAGTAGTGGAAATCTTTACCTTTCAAAGAGAAATCGGAAAATGTTACACGCTCGTTCTCTTTATAGGGTCGCATTCGAATTTGGATTGATTCGTTCCCTCGATTATGTCACAAGGCATCGAATTTTAAGCAGTCTTTTTTTTTTTCTCCAAATTATGTGCGTAATTTTCGGAATGCTATCAATTTAGAATTCTTTGTTCAAATCAACAACAATCTCTTTCCTTTATTATTATAACAAAATTTGTTCTTTGTTTCCGTGAACGTTGCACCATCATCTTTCCGACAGCTTAATTTCGCCCCCGAAGTTTGGGCATTTTCGATATTCACCACATGATCTTCAGTCTGTAAAATCGAGTCACGAGACATGATCCCCCAACGTGTTTTTAATAGTAAAACACTGTATAAGTAGAATGAATACAGTAATTGGTCCAAATAAAATGGGTTTTTTTTTGTTTTAAAAAAAAAATTATCTTTCCCTCTTTACTATGTAATAGTGGTGGTTCAGGTCATTTTATTGTAGAATTATTATTCGTCTCTTTTTAACCTAAAGATTTCTGGAATGTTCGGTCTAATAATAAATAATAAAAAATAGATCTCAAGACAAAGAACATTTATGAGAACTAGACTTTTTTTCTTTTTGTTTGTTTTGCTTTTTATAGTTAAATTATGATGTACGTTCTCGATTTAGATGCTCGTCTTAATCTTAACTTCTTTTTATTGCTTGCTCAGATTACCCATTCTTAAATATATTTCTACTAAAAATAAACTTCATACTATTTTAAAAGGTTTTTAAAGGTAAAAAGTTCGCACCAATGAAACAAAATTTCGATTGCGCAGAAGCATCCGAAAATTTTCTTGCCCTATCTGGTTAATAAATAACTGGTTTTTGATCTTGTTTAATCCACATATATATCATATTATTTCACGAGTTCTTTATTCACATACAAACAAATTCGATAACAGTTCGCAGGAAACTTTCCAATTATGGCCTCCATCTTTCCTTTCATATGTCACGAATCGAAACTCCCCTATATACGTGTATATTGAACGCTTGTTTTATTATATACATAATAAGCATAGTAGCTAGCAATCGAGCTTAAAATTTCTTTGTAATAATGATTTGTTGTTAAAAAAAAAAATAATCAAGGATCCATTTACATATGATCACACAAATACCAAAATGAAATGAAAAATTCATCGTAAACGTTATTTAAGGGATGAAAAAGCGCAACCCTGAGTCCGCAAAATCAAACAAAAAAAAAACGTTTCAATTTAGATTACTTTTAATGGACATAGATTTCTCCTCTTTTTTTCTAAGCTTATTAATAATGGGCATCCCACGCTGTAACTTGTTCCTAAAGAGGAAACGTGAATAGTTTTGAAAAAAAGGGGGGACGATTTTCATCATGTTTGGATGACGTTTTGTTAACGTGTTGTGTTCAGAAATTATTTAATCATATGTTATTCCAAAAGTATTAATAAAGGAATTTGTCATTTTGATGATATTTTATTTTTAATACTAACTTTTTTTCAAAACAGCTCGGATTTACATTCGGCCAAGGACTTTGTTTGATCACGTGACGACACACTAACGGTTTGCGGTTACGATTTGTGACGTATTTTGTTCTCGTGTTTATAAAACGTCATGAAACCATAAGGGTAGCCGATTCAAAATAGGATAACGGTTATGATCATGAGTTTAAACATTTAAAATTCGAATTCTTATTTTTCTCCTCTGTTAATAGAACATTTACACTGTTTATCGAGTGGCAACAAATAATCATCGACCATGTGGTATCAATTTACGAGAAAGGTAAATTACAGCCATTAAAGCAAATCTTTGCTGTTTGAGCGAGCTTCTCCGAAAGAATGCTTTTAGAATGTGATGCAAACATGTATTTGGTTTAACATCAATGTGCATACCACGTCTTTTGGACTAATTATTTGGATCAGAAGGTTTGATCCACTTTATTGGTTTACGATTGAGGGGAAGGGAGGTGGGGGTTCCTTAAATTTCATGATGTTTTTGTCAAGGATAAAACGCATTGCAGCAAGGACGGGATAACCTTTTGCTAGTTAAACGGGCCAATGGAGATACAAAAAAAATTTGGTACGCAAAATGCGAAAAATTCCGCTGTTAATAATATTCATAAAGTTTATATTTATTTTATTATATTATCATTATTAGTAATATCTTAGAATGGAAATAGCTAACGATCTTATGACATAACGTAAAATTCATAGGTAATTGAAGTTAACGAAATACGAAATTTTTTTTAAAAATGTTTCTTATAATTTCATAAATAAAGAATCTATTGATGCATATCTTGGGTAAAAAAACGATTAGTGACGACAAATTGACAACATTTTACTTCCTTTTCTCCCTTTTTAAATTAATAAACGTGCGAACTGGTGAATTGACCTTAATTGATTTTCGTAAACCATATCCTTAGTATCATTCCTTATTAATCCAATTAATCGAATTTGAAAAACAAGTTAAATTCGGTTCTTTCATGGACTTTTCATGTTCTTTTTTGACCCTATTTGCCTTGAACATGTACTCGTGAACTTTTTCACTGCACATCTCCAATACTTCATAAACTTGTCTAACTTCCGCGGAAGATTCGCTCCACAGGGAGGCTAACATGTTTATTTCTCGATCCGTTTGAGAAGAGGATGTAGACGTTAATGAATACATTTTCTTGATCGAATTTGGACGAGAAATATGTTCATTATGAGAAGCGGAAATATTTGTGTGTGAAATCTCCTTGTGTATTATATTAATGTAATCTTGTTTAAATAAAGTACGAGCGCTTGAATGATGATGGTAAGCAAAAGGCGATTTGCATTTATGAGGAGGAATTAAAAGAGCATGCAACGGTTGTTTGATGGTATCTTCGATGAATTTACGTGTAATTTTTGCATTTGTAGTAGAGTAAGAATCAATTACGTTGTTTATTATAATGTCAAGAATGTCGGGATCGGGTATAAGGTGGTCAAATTTACAATCTGGTTCATGAAAGTAAATATCATTCCTCGTCATGGAAGGGTTGGTCATTGAATGATGATAATAAATGAGGGAAAGATTACACAAGAAGCAACAAATCTTTGGAGATTGCTCTCTTTCTATTTTGTTTATTGTCTTTATTTTTTATTTATTTATTATTATTATTATTATTTTTATTTTTTTTTATTATGATTATGATATAATTATTATAAAATTTAAAAATTGACAAATTGACAAATGTATTTAGAGACGAGAAAAAAAAAATTTTTTTTTTTAATTTACTTTGGCTTTTTATAACGGATCAATTGTCCTACTAAAACAAGGTGTTATTTTTTTTATCATTCAATCGGAATACCCGTATGGGAATTTTCTTGTTTTTGCTTCTTTTTTTTTTTTTTTTAATATTATTATTATTACTCGTTATTTAATTTTTTTTTTTTTTTAAATACAAAATTTTTAAAAGTAAAAAATAAAATAAACCCTATAAAATAAAAAAAATTTTCACTAATTATTTATGTTTTTTGATGATATCATCAACAAAAAGGTGCTAACCACATTTATTAAGATTATATAAATGTTTAAACTAAAAAAAAAAGATACACATTAAAATAGCATTCCCGTTACTTTAAAAAAAAATAAAAAAAGAGCTTTTTTTTTTTTATCGAAACATGATTATGAGATTTGTTTAGATAGTAAACGTTT